TGGTGGCCGGGAGCAGCCACTGCACTCCAGTCTGGGCGACCGAGTGAGACTCCAACTCAAAAAAAAAGACGCATTCCAGGCTGAGGAGAAAATGTAGGAAAAGGCAAGGAGATGGGAAAATGCCAAGAGTGTGGTAACAGTTTTTCTGTTCTACTACAGAGCAAAATAGGACACAGAGATGAGAATGGAAAATGTGGACAAATGTTCAGGTTCAAGGCAGAGGTTCAGAGGTGGACTGACCACTTTGTGTTAGACCCACTGGGGCAATCAAAGTAGAATCCCCCACTTTGATGACATTCTCATTTTAATCTCAAGCCCAAGCATCTCCTTGTTGGTGTCTCCATGGCCAGTCAGCTCCTGGATAGAAGAGGGGAATACATGGGCCGCTTGCCCTGCTCATTCATTCAGGGCCTTCAAGGTAAATTTCAGTCCATCATAGGCTGTGAGCGACCTGAAGGAAACACAGGGAGGCTCCAGAGAAATGACATTGTGGGGGAGGGGCTAGCAGGAATTCTGAGGACATCCAGGGATGGCAGACACCACAGGATTGTCAGTTTAGAGATGACATACTTCATGGACTGTTATTTCTTGCCAAGGTCTGAACATGTACCAAGTTCCTACCACTAGGATCCTATTCAGTCTAAAAAAATCCAGATAGAGAAGCCAGCCTGTCCCCTGAGCATCTCTGCCTCCCCTCAGAGATCTTCAGTCTGTTTTCTCTTGACCCCCAGGATCAGACAAGAGTGCAGAGCACCAGTCTCAGAATCAAAGAAGAAATGAGTGATCCTCACCCTTTGGAAGAGGTGGGCTGGGTGCAGCTTGAGGGGAGGGAAATATATGGGGAGAAGGGAACCAAGGATCTTAATGTTTTGCAAAGAGTGGAGAGAATGAAAAAGCTCATTACCCGGAAACAGACCTAGAAAGTGCTTTGTGATCATTCAGATAACAAAAAAAGACTCAGAGATGGAACTCAAATTGAGGGGTCAAGGAAGACCCAGCTACATCTGTCTGCAAAGATCAAATTCTTATCACTATGGTACTCAGCGCCCTGCTTCTCTTCTGAAAAAAAAAATCTGACCCCAGTATTCTTCTTCCTCAGAAAAGGTAGGATAGGATCTCAATATTCTCTTCAGAAACTCTAGGACCTTTGAAGGTGAGGAAGTAATAGAGAAAGACTCAGAACACTTTAGGAAAGGCAGGCGATGCCACCAAATATGACAACTGGAGGGGATCTCCAAAATCCCCCATACACTCACTGACTTTATTTGGAAACGGAGACTCAGACAGGAGCAGTGACTTGACCAAGTTCACATCAGGCTAAAACAGAGCTGGATCCCAAACTGGGTTGCCAGATTAGCTGAATAAAAATAAAGGATACCCAATTAAATTTGAATATTATATCAATGACAAATAATGTGTCTAGTATAAGTATATCCCGTACAATATTTGGGATATACTTACACTAAAAACATCCTTTTTTTTTTTATTTGAAACTTGAGTGTATCTGAGCTTCCTGTATTTTATTTGGCAACCCTATCCCAGACCTCGTTTAACCACATCTGCTTCTCCTTGAACTTCTTCTTGCTGGTTTTTGTCATCCATGGCTCAGGAGGTATATGATATGTCAGGTGCCCGCCTGGCCCTAACACTGTGTGTCACCAAAGCCCGAGAAGGTTCAGAGGAAGACTTGGATGCCCTGGAATACATGTTTCAGCAGCTGAAATTTGAAAGCATCATGAAAAGAGATCCCACTGCTGAGGTATCGGGTTGCCAACTGAAGACCAAGGAGGGGAAGGGATTGGGTGACATGGGTGGGCTCTAGGGACCTGCTTGAGTCTGATTAATCTTCTCACTCCAGCAATTCCAAGAAGAGTTGGAAAAATTCCAGCAGGCCATAGACACCTGGGAAGGACCCGTCAGTTGTGCCTTCGTGGCGCTCATGGCCCACGGGGAGGAAGGACTCCTCGAGGGGGAAGATGGGAAGATGGTCAAGTTGGAGAACCTCTTTGAGGTCCTGAACAACAAGAATTGCCAAGCCCTGAGGGCCAAACCCAAGGTGTACATCATCCAGGCCTGTCGAGGAGGTGGGGACAAACTCAAGAACACAGAGTCTGTGCTTTTTTGTTTGTTTTCTGGGTTTTTTTTTTTAATACCCACTCTTTAGACACTGAAGAGAAAATAATTTTTTATTTTGTTTTTATGTATTTTATTTATTTATTTTCTTGAGTTGGAGTTTCATCTCACTTTGTCACCCAGGCTGGAGTGCAGTGACATCATCCCAGCTCACCACGGCCTCAGCCTCCTGGGCTCAGGCTATCCTTCTGCCTCAGCCTCCTGAGTAGCTGGGACTATCGGCATGTACCACCATGCCCAGCTAATTGTAATTTTTTGTAGCAACATGGTCTCACTGTGTTGCCCAGGCTGGTCTTGAACTCCTGGCATCAAGCAATCCTCCCACTTCAGCCTCCCAAAGTGCTGGGATTACAGGCATGAGCCACCAGGCCCAGTTGAGTCTGTTTTTGATCCAACTCAATTCCAGATCCAAAGCTCCCAGCCAAGCTTGGCATACCACCAGACCATCTAGGATCTCCTCCTTGCCTTATCTTTCTCTTTGACTTTGCCTTTTCCTCTTCTTAATGTTTTAGAACAAAAGGACCCTGGAGAAACAGTAGGTGAAGATGAGATGGTGATGATCACCCAGACCATCCCAACATACACAGACATCCTACATATCTACTCCACGGTGGAAGGTATGAGCTCCCAGTTGACCTGGGGTGACCTCTACTTGTTCCCCTCGCCTGCTGCTCCTGACCCCCAAACCTCTCCTCCAAGAGCCACTCCCTTCTAGGGTTCCCTCCACCCACTCTCTGGAGCTCCCCTGAGCTCACTTCTCTGGAATCCCCCAGGGCACATCTCCTACAGACATGAGCAGAATGGCTCCTGCTTCATCCAGACCCTGGTTGATGTGCTCACAAACAGGAAAGGTCCCATCTTGGAGCTTCTGACAGAGGTGAGTTGAGTCAAGGTATCTGGGACCCCCACCCAGGTGGAGCAGGGTGCAAGCAGAGTGGACTAAGTCTCCTCCAAGCCTCTCTCCATGTCCTCCAACCCAGGTTCCAACACAGAAACTAGGATGACCACCTCCCAACAACTTTCCCTAGTGTGGGGAATCCCAAAGCCCGTGGAATATGAGAGAGCTTCAGTGAAATACAGATAAGCCTCTATAAACAAACCCCTAAAGTTTTTGTTTGTTTGTTTTAAAGATATGAAGTACAAGTCAGGTACATAAACGGTCTACGTACAGGTGAAGTTGGGTCTCTCAACAGACCTCAATTCTCCTGGAGTAAGATCATGCACTATTATTGAAGTTCTCCCCAGCAGTATACCACTACTAATCCCTTTCTTGTAGTATTATGATCAGTGTTCAAGGTCCACTTATGAGAGAGAACATGTGGCACTCAGTTCTTTTTTTCTGTGATCAATCACTGAGTATGATAGATTCTAAATCCATCCAAGTTGCTGCAGAGTTCACAGTTTTGTCCTTCTTTATGGCTGTGTACTATTCCATTGTGTATATGTACCACATTTTAAAAAATCCAGTCCAGTTTTGATGGGCAGCACAGTTGGTTCCATGTTATTGCTATTGGGTCCAGCCAATGACTTCATAGAAACCTTGGTATATAAGGGGACCATAAAGGTCTCTCATTGTAAGACACAGATACCATGGGCCCTGTTCTCTGACCTTTTCCCCATAAGCCATTACACTGACTCCCAGGAGTCCAGCCTCCAAGTGACCACACCTGTTGCTGCAGGTGACACGACGGATGGCAGAAGCAGAGCTGGTTCAAGGGGGAAAAGTGAGGAAGGTGAACCCTGAAATTCAAAGCACCCTCCGGAAACGGCTCTATCTGCAGTAGGAGCAGAAAGGATGAGTTGGGGATCTCCTTCAAGTGCTCTCTTTGCCCTACAGAAATTCAAAGGCTGCTCTCACCAATCCCCAAGATCTTCTCTTCTCAAAGCTAAATGACAATCTCAGACCAGTCCTCCTTTAAACTATGTCTCTCCTACTTAGAGCAAGTCATCCAAAACTTAGCACAAAGCAGGCAGCAACATTAACATTCCCTCCATCGGGCTGGACTCTCTACCTCTCTTAATGCAACCTAAGTGTGCATTCTCTTATCCCACTTCCTGTCCGTTCTCCCATTCTCTTCTTTCTCCCTTGAAGCAGAAACTGGACAAAGCTCAAGATTTTCCACTGACAAACTAATGCCCACTCATCCCCTCCAACCCTAATCAAACCTTTGCTGCCTTCTGCATTTCACCCGGAGGTACAACCTCCTCCTGAGCCTACAACATTACTGTCTTCCATTTTCCTCCCATACTCTGCAGATTTCATAAGGTAAGAACTATTCTCTCCCAGGACCCTTCTTCCTTGGCTAGCAAGTTGGTGTCTTGACACCTTTCCCCTCCTGGCTCATGGCCTCTCCCTGGATAATGGAGTTATCTCCTGCTCTTCTGTGTCTCTTTCTCCTAATGCCCCTCCCCGCAAGGCCCTGGACTCTGCCCTCTCTCCAAGAAAATCCATCCACTGATCAATTCGCTCCATTTTAACTTTTGACTACTCTGAATCCAAGCATGTTGAAGCTATGACAAATTCCCCGGTGCCACCCTGTTACTTTTTTTTTGAGTTGGAGGTTCACTCTGTCGCCCAGACTGGAGTGCAGTGGCAGCCACTGCAGCCTCGACCTGCTGGGCTCCG